TGTGTGTGTGTGTGTGTTCAGATGGCAAATTTAGGAAAATTAGACAAGTCTTGTACCGCTCAGATTAAGGAAACTATTTTTTAAAAAACAAAAACAAAATGATTTTGCCCACATTTGTCCCCAAGGATGCTTGAGGGTTAAATCGACAAATACAGAGGGCCTATACAATGTGGAGATTTGCTCTCCTCCGTTGGAGGCCCTATGTTTCTTAATAGGAAGCAGCTGTTATAGTTTGCCCACTGGTTTCAGTTTTCAGCGTGAACTGTGAGTGGGCTTTGCTTTTTAGTTGAACAACATTCCCTCAAAAATTTGAGCAAAATCCGAAAAACATAAGACCAGCGCCCTCTGCTGGTCAACCTCTGACTCACGTTACCAGACTAAATTTACTCACCCTTCGTTTGGAAAATAATACGGCGAAACAGAATCTTCTTATTGGACTATAGCCCCCTAGAAAGAGACTTAACGTGAGATTTTATTACCGACTATACCTTATTATTATGAAAAACAAAACCTTTATATGTTTTCATGTCCATTGCCTTACCCGAATTCGACTATTATATGAATTACATCCATTGATGGAGACTTTGGCAGACTGTTCGTCCGGAGAGAAGTTATGCTCATCAGATACTACTTACCGACCTGAGAAATACTAAAATTTATTTAAAAAATGATCCCTTATCATTGAGCCACACAGGAAATTATGCAACTTTTCTGTGTGATGCCATACTGAATCGCCTCGTGCTGCGGTTTACTAGCTCGAATGGTTAAACTTAACCTTAAAGGGATACTCCACCCCAAAATGAAAATTTTGTCATTAACCACTTACCCCCAATGTCGTTCCAAACCCCTAAAAGCTTCGTTCGTCTTCGGAACCCAATTTAAGATATTTTGGATGAAAACCGGGAGGCTTGTGACTGTCCCATTGCCTGCCAAGTAAATTACACTGTCAAGGTCCAGAAAAGTATGAAAGACATCGTCAAAATAGTCCATCTGCCATCAGTGGTTCAACCGTAATGTTATGAAGCGACGAGAATACTTTTTGTACGCGAAGAAAACAAAAATAACGACTTTATTCAACAATTTGTCTCCTCTGTGTCTCCGCATCACCGTAGCGCCATTTTGGAGAATAATGACTGAACGCAAGCAGCGTACGCTATTCTGTGTCAGCCACGCTGCACGGATGCGCTGTTTTCATTCAAATCAAAGTGTGGATACACGTAGAAAACGTATCTTCGTGTCGCGGCTGACACAGAATAGCGTACGCTGCTTGCGTTCAGCTCATATTCTCCAAAATGGCGCTACAGTGATGCGGAGACACAGAGGAGACGAATTGTTGAATAAAGTCGTTATTTTTGTTTTCTTCATTGTTGTTTTTCATGGTTTCCAAAAAATATTTAGCCGTTTTTAACTGATAATAAATGTTTCCTGAGCAGCAAATCAGCACATTAGAATACTTTCTGAAGGATCATGGGACACAGAAGACTGGAGCAATGATGCCGAAACTTCAGCTTTGCCATAACAGGAATAAACTAGATTTTCAAATACAATAAAATAGAAAACAGCCATTTACTGTATTTTTCATCAAATAAAGCCTTGGTGAGTATAAGAGCTCCTCTGAAAGGGGGTCAAACCTCCGACTCCACTGTAAAAGTAATGCTCAATATTCCAAATGCTTTATGAACATGAATTTTGAAGTCACTCGGAAACAAACACATTTGTTTTAATTTATTGATGATTATACAGCTACAATTTACAGAATGTTCCAAACAGCAGAACTGGTTAAAGGTGGTAAGGGAACACAAACAGGATGAGGGGATTATTTCTCCCCGGCTTTTGGTGGCACCCACTCGTGGATCTTCTTGCGAGTGGTTGAATAGGGCACGTAGCAGTTCAGTGTGCCACTGTTGTTGAACTGATGAACTTTGGCCAGGAACTTCTTGGGTTCTGGAGGGTGAGTGGTGGGAGGGTCATCCGTCATGCAGTGTAGCCAACGGTGCCTGAGAAACACATCAAAGAGAGAAAAATAGAAGATATATTACTGTACATTGGCAAATAAAGCCTGTGTTTGTCTGCTAACTAACGTTGAGCCAAAGCAGTGAGAATTTCTGTATAAAATATTATGCAATTCTATTCTAAAACTTATTTTTTTGTATTCTGTGCTTCTTTTTTACAATACATAATTTACCCAATGTTTTGCTTAATCATTATTGCTGCCAATGATCAGTTTTCAACACCACAGTGCTCTTGAATTAATTGTTTTTTTCTTGCAACAATAATTGTTTAAGGCTAGAGTATGTTCAACAATCCCAATAATTACATAATATGAAGTGCAAAAGGTAGAAAACTACATCCATGAAAACATCCTGCCAAACACATCTATATATTACCATTCGGCAGGGACCATACTGCCATCAACATCCCACAAAGTGTTCTTGCCGTTCATCTCTGTCGTGTAAATCACCCATCGGTGACGGCCTGAAAGTCACAAATTGAAAAATACACATTCATAAGGCATAAAACACAGCGCATTTGTGTACAGACAGCAAAAGTATGTATATTCATACCGAAAAAGTATCTGTTGTCCTGATAGTATTTGTTGCCATATTTGTCAATACCCACCAAGGCTCCAGTCTTGATATCATTCACCCTGACAAAGACACATTTTTTTTTTTATCAATTATTAACATATTATATTATATATATTAGACTTAACAAGTAAACAATATGCATAAAAATTAATAATATATAAATATCAATAATAAATCCCCTAAAATATTTAGTGCAGGTCCAAAAAA